GCTAGTGTGTCCGAGGAGCTGAACTTGAAGTTTTGCTTAAAAACTGAAGCAGGGTAATTTTCTTCATTAAATGCAACTTCATTGTTTTGGTAGAACTACATTTTACGTTTACATAGAAATTCAGTACCTGAACTGAGATGAGCTGGGATTATAAACTAGACACTGGATTTCAAAGACATGATACAAAAATATTGTAGAATATCCTACTGATTATTTTTAATATTATTTACATGTTGAAATAATATTTTAGATATACTGGATGAGATAAAACATGATTAAAATTAATTTTCTGTTTCTTTTGCATTCCACATGTTTCTTTTTGAATGCAGTACTAGAAAATCCTAAATTACATTCGTGGCTCGCATTATATTACTCTTGGGCAGTGCTGAGCTAGCAGAGGAGAGGGGAGGGTGACAAAAAGGAACAGCTTTGCCAATAAGCCACCTCGGCAGGGTATAAAAGGATAGGGTTAAGGAGGAAACCAGAAGAGTGAGTTTAGTTTAAGATGACCCGCCTATGGGGTTGGAGGCTCACGGCTGAAAGTGTGACCAGTTTGCCATTAATCCTCCAGTTTAACCCAGCCAATCAGAGCCCACCACTAACCCTTTTTCTTCACACATGGGGATTGTGAGTTTGGGATCGCCTATACGGACCACTTCTCTGTAGCCTCTGTGGCCATTCTTCAGGATCTCAGGCGCCTGCCTGCAACTCTCCCACTTCTTTCTCCTCCTCCACTCTCTTCTCCCCCCCCCCCCCCCCGCCCCCCTTGCCTTCTAGCCGGACACTGACCTTACTGCTTCTTCCACAGCCGTTCTCTGGACAGCCCAAGGCTCAATGCATCGAGACCCTCCTGCAGGTGATCCACTTCCCCCAGCCACTGTCGGATGACATTCGGGCTGCTCCCATCTCCTTCCACATCCAGCTCGCACACGAGAAGGAGCAGGTATCCTGCCGGCAGCTAGTCATTCAGCAAACATTTACTGAGTCCTCAGGACTCAGTGTTTCAGGAATCTTGCTTGGTACTGGGTTTACAAAGTTAGAGACGTTCTGCCAACGAGCTCCCTGTTTCTC